CGTGGAAGCGACCGCCCCCCAGCCCCCCCCCGCAGGCGTGAAGGAGGCGCAGATGATCCAGCGGTGCAAGGACCCCGTGGAGCGCGAGCGCTTCAATTTCATCACGTACGTATGGGAGGACAGGTACAACGACCCCACCACGGCATGCGTCAAGACCGTGCAGGAGCTGCCCGACGATTGCCTCACGAAAGTTATGTCCCAGCAGACGGCCTCGATGGAGTCCAAGCTGATGGTTGGCATCTTGTGGCCGCTCCCATCCTTCAGCGACGCAGTGACGAGGGCGCTCAATAGGAAGCCGACAGCTGCCGACATGACGACGATCATCCACAATGGGGAGAAGGTGAAAGGAGTCATCAGAGACCCGAAGCACGGGAACCCGCCAGGGACGTACGAGGTCACTTCCAAGTCCAGCTTGAGCCACGTGATGACAGTCGTGCAGGAAGATTCAGATCGCGCAGTTCGCGGTTCCCAGCAGTGCAAGGACACGTTTGCCGCCCTGTTGAAGCGCGTGGGGGTCGCGGCGAGCTTGCGGGACAACGAGGAGGGCAGCAGTGCCGACGTGGTCAACATCAAGTGCAAGCACAAGCAGCAGGCCGGCGACATCTTGGACGACCTCTGGACGAACCCGTTCCAGCAGGAGAAAGTGAAGGCCGCCCCCGACCCGAATAGGCCCAAGCCGCAGCCGAAAACTCACAAAGCCAAAGACCCAGAGGCCAGACGACAGATTGAGTACAACGAGTCCGAGCAGGTTCTCTTTAAGGGCAAGCAGACGCTCAACCTCGTCCAGTCGAAGATAGACAGCGTGACGATCCAGTCGCTGGCCAAGCTCCTCAAGGATGTGAAGGGCCGTCAGACTGACGCCCTCATGGAGCTCTACCGCAAGGACATGATCGCGGGCGACCAGCAGCAGACAGAGTTCCGGACCGGGGCGGAGATCTTGCACGACCTCAACGACATGGAGACGAAAGTCAGCGCGTGGTTGGCCGTCAAGACAGGGTTGCGGTCGAGTTCGAAAGTTCCGAACACGACACCCCCCCTTCATCCTGCGACGTCCGCGGAGGGGGGAGGGCGGGCAGGAGGTGGGGGAGGCAGGGGGATGAGGAGCATGCTGGCGCGCGATTGGGAGCGACGGGCGGAGGAGGATGGGGAGGATCGATGCGACGATGGGGGCGATGTGGATGACGTTTTGACAGGAGTACAGCGGGGCTCGATCACGGAAAACCTCACACGATAAACCCAGCCGCGAGACCCCAGGACGCCCTTTTGTGGTCGTGTGAACGCCGCGCTTCCCATGGGAAATCCATCGAAACCCAAGAAGACCAGGGCACCCTGGAAGCAAGCTGGGCGTTTCTTGGCCTGCGGTTGAATTATGATTCTTGCCCGCTCCCTAGCAGGCTGGCGAAGAAGGTCGAGGACTTCAAGGGCGGAATTTCGAGTTTGATGGATGTGCTGTCCGAGGCGCTCGCGGGGCCCTTCAACCAGAGCGGCCGGATGCTCGTCGCGATGAAGATTTGGGAGCGCGCGCTGGAGTTGGCCTCGAAGGAAGAGCCAGCTACGTTCGCCACGTTCGCGTATGGTTTCCTGCCTGGCCGAGGAGGGGACGACGGCGGCATTGGCAAGGCTGTGGTAGATTATGTCGACGACGACGCAAAGCACGAGGTGGTCACGTCTGCCACCATGAACTACTTGACGATGATGATGAGCATGAAGAATAACGTTGAGAAGGTGACCGAATCCATCAAGCTGTTCAGGGAGCCAGCGGTATCAATCGCCGGGGGTGACGCCAGCATCAATGGCAAGATGATCTCCTGGAAGGATGACATCAACATGTTCTACGACATCGTGTGCGTCCGCGACCCCATGACCAACGTCGATCAGACCGAGAAGAATTTGCATGACATTATGGAGGGCGTCACGGCTTCCAGGTTTCAGAAGGCTTTGAAGTTGCTGCCCACGGGGGTGTTGCTGCGCGCAGAAGTATCCGCAGTTGCTGCAGCCATCAGGCACGATGACCAGTTCAAGGACAAGCTATCCAGCTTGACGAACGCACTAGTTCATGCCACTCCTCTCAGTGAGCGCATTGCGATGGAGGCCACCGAGGTGGATGACAATGGCCCCCCGCTTTTCCCAGACGAGTTCTTGGGCGTCATTCACGGCGGCGTTGTCGACTACGCGGATCTCTTGCAGAGCACGTCGGATCATTTCAAGAAGGCGCACCAGACGCAGTTGACAGCGATCCGCGATGCGTTCGTCGAGGCATTGACCTTCAGCCGCGACTCTGCCCATGCTAAGATTGGGAAGGTGTTCGCCCAGATGGTGACTGTACTCTGCAAGACCTTGTCGAACGTCGACGACGTCGAGCGGGGCAGCGATCCCGCGTTGGATAGCCTACTGGAGAAGCTGATGTTGGCGAGTTCGGTCAAGCACGTCAGTTTCTTGACGCAGTTCGAGGATGGCGAAGCCGGCGCCGTCAACGTCATCTCCGACATCTCCGGCATTGCGCAGACCGTCCGGGATGGGTTGAAGCTGCTCCTCGCGCCGGCCAGCGAGTTGTCCTTTGACCCCCCGCCCGTTCGCAGGCTCATCCACATGGTGCATGCGATGGTTGACGCCCTCGACGCTGACTTCCCCTACGACACAAAGGAGTACGGTTTTGGCTTGAAGTTCCTGGTCGATCACCACAAGCAGCGATTGGAGAACCTGGCGACCTACACTCGTAGATTCCTCGTGGATGCCGTGCAGGCGGTCGTTCGGGACGCGTGCGGTTACTGCCAGAGCGAATTGACGATCCTGCAGAAGTTCGCGAACGCAGACCAGGCGGGCAGAGAGAGCATATTCTCGACGCTATGGGCTGCGTGTGGACAGCGTCACAAGGACTGGCACACCGAGACTGTGCTCGCGGAGTGGATGGACAACTGCAACAGCTTCATGGACCGGACGGACCCATTGTTCGAATTTCATAAGACTTTAGTTCGCTTCGGGGCCAAGTTCGACGACGCCGTCGCCCCTTGCGGCACCGTCTACTACGTCGTCGGGATGGGCTTGATCGGCCCTGCGCTGGTGGCCTCCGTTGCCGAGCTGAACAGCGAATGCTTCACCGAGCAGGAGCTCCCCGACACGCCGATGAGCCCGATCGACATGCAGCGGGCCACTCGGGCAGTGGGCCTGCCGAAGGATGCGATCGACCTCAACTTCGAGGCCCTCCGGAGACAGGCCCTGAAGTTGACGGACGCCCAGCATAACTTGAGCATCGCCGACGATCGCGTCGCGATCATGAGAGGCTGCGAGTCGGAGTCGGCCGTGCCGCAGCTCGTGGTCGCGTGCGAGAGGGCGCGCGCCGCCTTCGAGCAGAGGTGTCGCCGCCACCAGGAGGACCTCATCGGGGCCATCGCGGAGGGGAGGAAGCTGTTTTCCGACTTGTTGGATCTGCTGTCGGCCGAGGGCATCGAGGCGACCTTCGAGAGCCAGTCGGCGACCCTGTCCCTCGACGGCGTCAAGCAGCTCGTTGCATCGGCGCGAGGGATGGGGGGAACGAGAATTACACATATATAGATACAGAGAGAGAGAGAGAGAGAGAGAGAGAGAGAGAGAGAGATAGAGAGAGAGAGACAGAGAGAGAGAGAGACAGAGAGGTAGAGAAAACAAGAGAGAAAGAGAGAGAGAGAGAGAGAGAGAGAGAGAGAAAGAGACAGAGAGAGAGAGATAGAAACAAAGAGAGATAGAGAGAGAGAGAGAGAAACAGAGGGAGACACAGAGGGAGAGAACGGTAGAGAGAGAGATAGTGACATATAACATATATATATATAGAGAGAGAGAGGAGAGAGAAAGAGAGAGAGAGAGAGAAATATAGAGAGAGAGAGAAAAAAAAGAGACAGACAGAGAGTCGCGGCCCGCCCGCGACCCATCGGCCCCGGCAGCTGCCCGTTTCCGAAGGTGCTCAAACGGGGAGAGGGGAGGGGGGGCCTGGGGGATTTTGATGCACCGTGTGCCCGGCTGTCAGAAGAGGCCCCCTCCTCAAAGTTGAGTCGTTTGGTCTCCTCGGCTTTCGGTCAGAGAGGAGTCGTTCGGTCCCTCCCGCGCTCGGTAGAATTTGCCCGTTCGGTTCCGTTCTCGGTCGGAGGGGGCCGATGGGGCTCCTTTTCCGACCGAAAGCAGAGGGGGCCGACCGATTCACTTCCGACCGAACACAGAAGGGGCCGAGCGACTCACTCTCGTCGCGACCCATCCGCGAAGCCGCCCGCGACCGACCCGCGCCGTGACCCGCCCGCGCCTCCCCCGCCCACTCGCGACGCGACCCGGCCGTCGGGGCGACGACATCAACAACCACAGCCACAACAGCAACAATTCCCACAACAACACAACACCAACTAAAACAATATGAACCACAACAATAACAGCCACCACCACAACACCAATAACAAGAACAACGACAACAACACCAACACCGGCGCCAACGACATCAACACATCAAAAAACGACAGCAGCACCAACACCAACACCAACACCAACACCAAGACCAAGACCAACAACATCAACAACAATCCCACCATCAGCAAACACAGCAAACACAGCAACAACAGTAAACACAGCACAGCAACATCAGCAACACCAACAGCACTTACGTCATCATCATCATCATCATCATCATCATCATCATCATCATCATCATCATCATCATCATCATCATCATCATCAACATTATCGTCATCAACATCAACACGCATACTCGTAATTCCCTCCTCCCCTTATCCCCCCTCCCCATGCTCATCCGCCTCCTCATATTTCTCCTCTTCTTCCTTTCTCCTCCCATGCCAGTCTCATCGTCCCTTCTCTCTTCCGCCCGCCCACCCGGCCCTGCGCCTGCTTTTCCTCTTCTCTTTTGCCCCTCTTCGTCTCCCTCCCCCCTCCGCCCTTTCGTCGCGCCCCTCCCCTGTCTTTTCCTCGCCCTCCCCATCGTCGGCGATTCTGGCATTTTTCTGTTCGTCCCCGCCCCGCGAAAGGCGAACTCCGTCCAGGGCATCGGCGGCGGCCAGCCAGGGGCGGCGGAGGCCTTGTACAGGTCGTGGCGCTGGTTCGTGGGCGTCATGGCGGCCTCTTCGCCCAAGTGGCGGGGCAAGAACCCCACCCCTCCCCCGCAGCAGGGGGCCGGGCGAGAAGAGGGGGGCTGCGACGGGGCAGGAAGAGAAGCAGGAGGAGATGATGACCGGAGGTTGGGGGGTGAGATCGAAGTGAACGGAGATATCCCCGACCAGGAAATTTGTTTCGGTTTCGGGTCGTGTCGCGCGCGCGGCCGAGGCGAAGATGCGCGGGCGGGCTAAAGGAATGATGCCGCTCCGGATAGGCCGGGCCATTGCAGACCACCGCCGCTTTAATGAGTTGTTGTGGCCTGGCGTGCCCCGCCGGGGCTTCCCTCCGCGGTGTCCTGTCGGTGTCCTGTCGGTGTCCTGTCGGTGTCTGGGCTGGTTTGGGGGGGCCTCCGAGGTTCGCCGAGCTGCACGGAGACGAGCTCCTCTCGGGCCGGACGAATCGCGGGGATGGCAAATGGGCGTACAGTCGGCCCGGATGAGTAGGTCGACCCTGCCAAATCAAGGGTACCCTTGAGTCCTGTGTCTCGCGACCCATGCCTCCTTGCATTCCTGTGGCAATGTGGCCCTCGGAAGGGTCTGGTGTCCTCTCGCGCGCCCTGTCCAACCAAATCCGATTGTAGCGAATCCCCTTTCCCTATCCCCCTTTTCGTCCGACCCGATCATCGACGCGCAGTACCAGCGCGACTCCGTCTTCGGTCGCGCAGGGAGGATGGCCGCGAGTTTGAGCATCGCGTCCTCTCTGTGCCGTCCTCCGGCGGCGGGCTCCAGCCTTGTGGATCACGTGCGGAAGGTCCCCGGGCTTCGTTATTCCGCATTACATCGGATGGCCCACCTTTTTTTTTATCTTCGCTATCATCCACCATTTTCTGGGTATTCCTGTCACCTCTCCCGCTGCCTCCTCTTCCTCGTTTTGTTACTTGCCGTCGTCGTCTCCCTCCTCCTCATCGTCATCCTCTGTTATCTTTCCTCCTCCTCCTCCTACTCCTCCTCCTCCTCTTCCTCCTTTCTCTCCTCCTCCTCCTCCTCCATCTCTTCCCCCGTGTGGTAGACGCCGCCCAGCCGCCCATCTCCCTCTCGCCATCGCAGCGGCGCCGAGCCCTCCACCATCTCCTCCTCCCCCTTTCCTCCTCGTGCTCCTCCTCCTGCTGCTCCCCCATCCACCTCCTCCTCCTGCTTCTAATCGTTCGAAGGTCTCCATTGGCCTGGAGACCATGGGGCCGCTGACCGCGCCGCACGTCGGCATCATCGCGGCCGCCCAGGCCATTTGTGAGGCGCGGGGGGGGAGGAGGAAACAGAGGATAATGATGATCGGGCCGAACGAGGGGGGGGATAGGGAAAGGGGGCGTTACGAAATCTGGTGCACGCAGCTGGTTTCGGCCCCACAGCCAGGCCCATGCTTCGATGCACGGGCGCCTCCCTGATAAAAAACAGCTACGTGAGCTGATTATCGACCCTGCCCTTGACTATCCCCCCCTGTCGTGCCCCCCCCCCCGCGGCGGCCCTGAGCCAGGGTGGCGGTTGCGCGCGACCCCCCATTGGGGTTGCATGAGGAGGAGGATGAGGAGGAAGAGGAGGAGGAGGAGGAGGAGGAGGATAATGAAGAGGAGGAGGAGGATGAGGATGAGGATGAGGAGGAGGAGGAGGAGGAGGAGGAGGAGGATGAGAGGAAGAGGAGGAGGAGGAGGAGGAGAAGGAGGAGGAGGAGGAAGAGGAGCAGGAGGAGGAGGAGGAGGAGGAGGAGGAGGAGGAGGAGAAGGAGGGAGGATGATGAGGATAAGACGATGAGGATGAGGATGATGAGGGGAAGGTGCAGGACAAGGGAGAGGAAAAGGGGGAAGGCGGGGGGGGGAGTGACGAGCAGGAAAATGAGGAGGCAACGGCGGATAACGAGGACCAGAACGGGAAGAGGACGAGGAAGAGGCGGCCCCCTCCCGAAGGCGGACGACGGCCTCGAGGGGGAATTGGCGGCGCTCGTGGAGGCCGCGTCCGCCGAAGGCGACGAGGCCGGCGGCGCGCAGGGGGACGGCGCCAAAGGGCGCAAGAGGAAGTCCTCTGGCGCCGCCCCCTCGCGCGCCTCGCGGGCCAAGTGCGCGTAGACCGTGGGCCTCTGGCCCTAGCCGGGCCCTGTCCCGCCGGCTTTTTGCGACCGTTTGCGAACCCTACCCCGACATCTGCACGAACGAAATGGGCACGGAAAGAATGGGTGCACTGCCCAACAGCAGTTCCTGTTCATTTCGAACAGGACTCGTTGTCCGCGCAGCCGCGGCCTGTGTCCATTTGAGACAGGAGGCCGCCTGCCCAACAGCGGCCGCTGTTGGTTTGGGACATCGTTTGCGGTTGGGCATTGTATCCATTCTTTCCGCGCCTATTTCGGGCGGCCAAACGACAGGTCCAATCGACGCTGGGGTGTCGGATGCCCCCGGTGTTTGTTTTTGTTTTTTTGCTGCAAACATTTGTCGGAATTTGAGCCCCAACCAGTCTCTCAGATAGGCGCAGGCAACCCGCGTAGTACGGATGGGCGGCTTCCCCGGGCCACCGCTGCATCCTTGCCCCTTGGGCCCATCCACGGCTACTTTCGCATGCTAACTTTGTTTGAGCGGATGCTCGAACGTTGCCCTCCAAGGCGCCCTTGCGTCTTCATCGCGTGTCCTCATTATGCGGGTTGACTGTAGCCCGCAGGGGGATGGTTCGCATGCGGTCGGGCGCCCGGCGCAGCTGCACCAACGCGGGTCCCCAGGGGCTCGCCGACACACCGTGGAGGGAATACGAGGGATCAAACAGTGACGAAATGTCGCGGCTTGCCTATAGGCCCACCAAATAATGACATTGCAACCTTTTTTAAATAATTTGCGCGACGTACTCATTGACCACTATTTGCTGGGGTTGTTTTGTTTTTACTGGTTGTGGTGACGTTCTGAAAACATTGTTTTGGTTCTTGGAACATTTTAGGGTTCGGCGCGCATGCCGTGGTAGGCCTGAATGTCGGGGCGGTCGGCGCCGGCTCAAAAGGGACAGAAGGACGGGGGGGCGAGGGTCGAGGCGACGCTGCAGAGATTTGTTCGCATTTGTATCGGGCGCTCCGCAGTGGGACGGAATGAGCCCAGGACAAGCAACGCGCATTTTTTTGGCACCATCGGGGCCCCAGGGGGCCCCTGCAGGTCCCCTGTCCTGCGCCCCCCGACACCTCCATTCGTCGGACCCACTGCGGAACGCCCCATCTTCTCACTTCTCACTGCAATTGTGCACGTGCTATAATTTAGGTGTATATGCAGCTCAGCATCGGGAGACCTATCCCCATTCCCACCAGGGAAGCCATCGCCGTGGGAAAACGTGCCCGCTCCGTCAAGATTCTCGTGGGTTCCAATTCGTTTGTCCGGATTCTCGTAGGGTTTCAACTCGTTTCGCGGGGCGTCGCCCACTGGGGATGGGGACGAGACTGTCGATGCTGACTTACGCCAGTGGCCGCCATTGGCCATTCGGAAATCGTGCCTGGCGCCGGGCTGTCCGTGGCATCGCGGCATCGGGTGCGCCGCGAACTCGACGCCCGCCCGGCACCCAGCATGGAGCATGGGGCGCCAGCCGCTACAGGTAAAAATGTGTGCCTCTTAGAAAAATGTGTGCCTCCTAGATGGGGTCGGAGTACATGGGGCCGGAGGATCGCGCCGCGTCGCCGGTGCATCGACGATGCGTTTCGACGCGGAGCCCGATGGTTTTCCACGCCGACGTCTCCGATGCGTCGCCGACGTCGGCGATGCACCGCCGACGCATCGGCGATGCATTGTCGATGCGGCGCGATCCTCCGACCCCATCTATTCCGACCCATCTAGGAGGCCTTAAAAGGACGCGACGCGGAGGCGGTGGCGGCGGCGACGACGACGACGACAGCGACGGCGGCCGCGGCGACGACGGCGAACAGGCGGGGCTGCGGGCCATGGGGGGGCCCGAGGACACGCGATGACATGTTGAGGGGGAGGGCCCATGGAGGGGGGCTGGGCGGGAGCGGCGGCGGGGGTCGCGGGAGCCTGGGGTGGCAGTGCTCGGGGGGGCTCGGACAATGGTGCTTGGGAGGCTGCCGGGGGGGTGGGCGGGCTCGGGGGCGGGGCTCGCGGGGCGGGGGTCGGGGGTCGAGCTTGCTGGGTGGTCCGGGAGTGATGGGCCGAGGGGCCGGGAGGGCCCCGGGGGGGGCGTCGGGAGAGCTCGGGGGGTCTGGGGGGAGTTTGGGGTGATGCGGGGTGCCGGGGGGGCCCACTGGGGGAGCGGGGTGGTCTTGGGGGGGCCCCAGGGGAGGGGTCAGGGGGAGGCCAGGGGGGGGGGGGCAGGGTGGTTCGGGGGTGCCCTAGAGGGAGGGCGGGGGGGGGGGCCTGGGTGGGGGGGGGGGGGGGGGGGGGGGCTAGGGGGGCCTGGGGGGGGGCGGGGGGGGGACTCGGGGGGGGGTCTCGGGGGGGCGCCGGGGGGGCCCGGGAGGGTTGTCGGGGGGGTTGTCGGGGGGGTTGTCGGGGGGGTTGTCGGGGCTGGTTTTTGGGGTGCCACTGGGCCTCTCGTCGTAAGCCAGGCGCGGCACCCCCAGCTCCTAAGGGCAGAATCCCCCTTTGGGCGCCTCTTGGGCGGTCTTGGTGCTCTCTTGTGCCGTCTTGGGGTTATCTTGGGCCGTCTCGGGCTGATTTTAGCGGATTGTTGGGCTGTCTCGGGGCGATGTTGGGGGCTATTTGCGTAGTCTGAGGCGCTGTGAAACTCGAAACGCCGTTCATGCGGGAAGTGTACATGTTCCTTTGGGAATGGGACGATTTTTGATTGTAACGGCCGTCTTGGAGGGCCCCTTGAGGCTCTCTTGGGGCTTCTTGGCGGCCTCGACGGCAATTTTGAGGTCATCTTGGGCGATTTGGAACGATTGTTCGGCGACTTGAGGCCGCTTGGATTGTTTCGGGGGCGTTCCGGTGCCGTTTTGGCGCGCTCCTGGGGCGTTCTGGGGGCATGAGCCGAGCGTCGCGCTCTGGGCGGCGTGCGGAAGCCATTGTGTGAGAGGGCGCGGTGGTGAGAAGAACAGCTCACCCCACCCGGTTTTCTGGGCTTTCCGGCGTAAGGAGGGCTTCTTCGCGGCACTTGTGAACGCTCCTGGACAGTGCTTTTTGGGCAGGTTCTTGACGCTTGTTGCAAGTCTGTAGGGGCCCCGTTGGGAGTCTGCCGAAAGGAGAGCACATTGTAGCATCGCTTGCACTTGCTTGCGTGCTCGGGGGGGCATTTGGGGGGCCTCCTGGGGCCGCTTGGGGGACTCTCGGGGGCCTCCTGAGGGCCTCGTGGGGGCCTCTTGGGGCCTCTTAGGGGCCTCTTGGGGCCTCGTGGGGGCTTCTTAGGGCCGAGGGCTCGAAATGTTGTTTCGTGTTCCCTCTCTAGGGCCCCTTTGGGGGCGTTCTTGGGGCCCTTTTGGACCGTCTGGGAGGCTTCTTGGGCCGTCTTCGAGCCCTCTTGGGCCATCTTGGGGCCCTCTTGGGGGCCTCTTGGGCCCTCTTGGGGCGATCTTGGGGGCCTCTTGGGCCGTCCTGGGGCGTCGGGAAGCCGAAAAGGTGGAAGCCCCAAAATCTTTCGAAAACCTAAGGAAAAGCAATGAATTTTGCCTCCTGGGGCCCTCTTGGGAGTGCTCTTGGAGGCCTCTTGGGGCGTCTGGGGGCTATCTTGGGCGTCTTGGAGCGATCTTGTGGCATGTCGGACCCCTCGTGTACCATCTTGGGGGCCTCTTGGGGGCCTCTTGGCCTTTCTTGGGGCTCTCGGGGACGTCTCGGAGCCCTGTTGGTGCGCTCATGGAGCGCTCTGGTGGAGTCGCCCAGGGATCAGCCGGGAGTCGCCCGGGGTACTTTTCGTCAGGGGACCCCCAGGGGCCGCCCCGCGCGCGCGAACTAGAGAATTGTTAACCAGTTACCGGAGATCTTAGCACGCCTCTGGCCCGTTGGGCCGGCGAATTGATCAAAGCGGGGGCGTACTTACTCAGAGCCCCCCGTCTGAAGCCCCTCAAGTCGCCTTTCGGGGGCCCTCCTGGGGCGCTGTTGGGCACTCTTGGGGCCGTTTCGGGGTCATCTTGGGGCCGTCTCGGGGTCATCTTGGGCCTTCTTGGAGCATCTCTTGAGGCCTCGGGAACCCATCAGAAGCGAAGGGGCGGGAGGGCTAAAATCATATATTCCCTTTTTTAATGTGGCCTTTGGGGGTTCGTTGCGCTGCTCCGAGGCCACTTGGACCCGTTTCGGATTGGTTTTGGGGTCTCTTGGAGCATGTTGGAAACCACCTTAGGCGATCTTGGAGTATCTTGGGTCATCTTGGAGGTCATCTTGGGCTCTTGGAAGCCCTCTCAGTGCCCTCTGACACCTCGCAGGGCGCCCTGTCCAGGTCAGGGGGAAGGGGTAAACCCCTCCCTGAATGAGAAGGAAGGGGTTAAAACTATTCACCATGAGTGTGGTGTGCGGCTCTTCGGGTCTGCCAGCCTGACATGCTTGCTTGGTTCTGAGCGGGCCCTCTCTGTATTCTTCTTCCGTATACTTTGGCGCTGTAAGCTTATCGTTGACATCATGGGACCATAGGCGATACCCCAGACCTCCGACGACTCGATTTTCCGAGTCGCAGACCCCTCGGAGTTTTCGCCCCCTTCATGGCAGGCCGCGGTGTTCCACCCCGAGCCGTCACCTGGCGAACCCAGGTCTGGGTGATGCCTTCCAGACGCCGAGCGCGTTGTTCAATATCGCTCAAGCAAGTTCACTTGACTGGTATTTTTGTTGCCCCCCCCCCCCGCCGCCTTAGGAAACAGTGCGCTGGGCCGAAACGGCGTGGGTGCAAGTGACTTCTGACTTGCGTGAAGTCCAGAGTTCCTTCAGGGCCTCGCCAGCCCTTCCCCCCCCCTCCTCCACGCAAGGGAACTTGCCAGAGGCTAGATAAAAAGCTGCCTTGCGATCCTTTTGGGAGGCCCCGAGCCCCCCCCATCCGAGACCGGGACCCCCCCCCCAGGTACCTCGGAGCCTCCACGGGCACCCAGGCCTGTGGCGTCGTGTGTTTGTTCACCACGTTGGCCCCCAGAGGCGTCAACCAATTCCGAAGATCGAGCGTCGCGTAACCG